TGTGATATCATGCCTTACATATTACACTTCGTTGTTTGATTTTGTTCATGTGATCAGTTTGTATTGTTCTTTAGCCAGATGATATATGCGTTTTTGCTCAGAACATACATTCACTAAATGATATTATTCTGTTATTGATACATTCTTCTCTCCTCGTTCGTTCTAGAATGCCATGATACTAGGAGTGAGAATAGAGAGATAAAGAACGAAGTACATCGTTTTTCTTTTTCTATTCTGTTGGAAGACGAAGTCAAAGACGAATTAAGTACGCTGTTCTACTTACTCATAGAGGCTGCGCGTGCAAATAATATTGTAAGTCTATTCCTATAGAAATGCACTAAAAACACAAGAAATTCCAAAGATTAATAACCACACCTTCAGTATATGTTGAACTCATGCCAACAAATAAGTTGATTTTATAACATGAATTTTTTTTGTTACGTGAGCGTTCTAGAAACGAGAGCAAATTCATACAATAGATTTAACTGTTATTTTCTCTCTTTTTTACTTGACCTTGTTATATTGTATACTTTTGTATACAGTGTAATTCATATGAATATTTTTCTCATTAGTCTGTATATTTTAATAACCATGAAATATTTCTTTCTTGTGAATGGGTAACTTTGACATTCAAATATTGTAAAAAATAATATTATACCTATAAAAGATTATTAATCATATATTGTACTTATGTTCGTACTAAAAGTCTCTATCCATTTGTAATGATAAACTATGCCTTCATTAAATTCAATTTTTTTAATAGTGTACTACATAGTTTTTCAAACAAAGGAGATAGAAACTGATTCTTTTTTATTTTTGTATTTTTAAATCTAAGAAGTCATTCATAAAGAATGTTCAACAGAGATGAACTTGATACTACTCTGTCATTTTGAAACCCATACCAACACGGAATTGATGAGTGTTGGTACTATTGCATCTGTGAATAATGCTATTTGACGTAGTTAGCTTTCAAAACAATGTTTTATTAAATATCCTCTATGAGATAATAAATGGTTTAAACATCGAACAAAAACCTAAATGACTAATAATTCACAATAAAATCAATTTATTTTCATTCTCAAATAAATGTCATAGATAGGTTTTTTTTAGGAAGCAATTACTTCTAAATATGCTGAAATTCATCTTGATTTACCATGGATGAAATAACTCAAGTGTACTGACAATCCAGTACTTATTAATGAATCTGATTTATCTACAAATGATGATGAAACATTCGTTGATCATGATTTTAAACGAGAAATGCTTGTGTAAATTAATTAAAACAAAAATTAATACCACTATTAATTTTATTTATCTTCTCGTTATCCTCAAGTTCAATCTACTGTTCTCGAAGGTATTTCGCATTTAGAAATGGAACAAATTTCAATAAAACGACTTGATAATTGTTATGCTCTGATGATCACATGAGATAAACATATGATAAAAGTAAAAATAAATTTTTCGTTTAAAATTTTAAAAATATGATTCTTTTTAGATTCGAGAATATTTAGTTAACTGTAAATCTCATATTGAAAAACATAAACAAAGATAATATGGTAAAAAGGTTCAACAAGAAGTTGTTCTAAAATGACAAGAAAATAAATCAAAACTACTTAAAACAATGAAAAAAAGTTCGAAAAGATAAAATATCAACTAAAAAAAAAACATTTGGAAATAAGTTTTATCAATTTAATATAGAAAAGCAAGGTGATCATATGCAAGAATTACATCACATTCATATCCTGATGTGTTTTTCAATGAATGGTCGCCATATTTACTTCAGCATTTTCTAAAACAGTCAAATAAGATACGAATCATACGATTAATCTGAATTGACGACAGGAGGATTGACACGATTTCATTCCATTTTCGAGTTTAACACATGCTTTGCCTTGTTTAGAGCACGCTTCATCATTTCTTCAGCTACTAATAAAAGCAGTTATTTATTTATTTTAATTAATAACTGAATAAAATAAACAGTCAACGCAAATAGAAACAGATTGTTTATATTGAAATAATCTAATCAACACCCACACCCTTTGTTGAGATGCAATATCGAATGTTTGTCCAACCAATTCAGAACATTCTTTACGTTCGGACATTATTTCGTAAATATCTAAGATACAAATCAGACACACATACGATTATTTGATAAAATTCTTCTTTTATATAAAAATAAAACGAAGAATCCTTCAACTTATTTTTTATTTGTATGAATAGAGACAAAACCGTAGAAAAAAAATGCAAAGGAGAGAGCTGTCAAACGATGAAATCGGTCTCCTCTCAACTCTCAGTTGATTATCTTCCAAATAGTCAATCCGAGCTTAAGCAGTTGGTGGCCGTTGAAACTATACTATTAGACTTCATTCTGATTGCGTCTGACTGATTCAAAACTCGATATTTATCGATCTACTATAGTGTCATACAATGTTGTATTTACTTGAAAAGTTTCTTTCTCTATTTCAGTTTCTTTAATTTAACTATTATATAAAATGAAAGCTCTTTCTTTATTCTATCGAATAGTATATAGCAGTATGCAAAAAAAAAATGTTCTTTTCATTTTTCTCTTAGATGAAATTGTTCGCTCACACTTACAATATGAGAAGAGCAATGAAAAAACGAATGACACTAATTTAGCCAAAAAAGAAAGTCAAACAAAATTTATTTTGAGATTCTTGAACAGCGAGATGAAAATTTTTTACTGTATGCAAAAAAAAAGGGAGAGATGTAATAGTAGTACATCAACAAGAAATAATAGTGCACGAAATATATTCAAAAACAAAACTACCAACAAGGCAGTGTGTTTTCTTATGTCGATGGATGTAGATATCATTCTTCGCTTCAAACTGATCCTCACATCCCACCATTAATATATGTCACTTAAAGATATTAGGAAACACGTTCAACATTTGTTAGAGGAATATAGTGCTTTTCACTATTGAAATGTACAAACAGCGGTCTACTTTGAATTATGTATCATTCGATCGGTTTTTTAAAGTTCTATAAAATGATACTAGTATTGTGTTGAGCCTAGTTTATGATCATGACACTTTAATCAAACACACAATGTTCAAGTGTCGAAAGTCGCCGTTTTTAATTAATCCAAAACCGTTTTAATCAGAATAGTCAGGCTTCCTATGAATAAAAAAAAAAAAGAATAGTTTTGGAGTCAGCACGAAAGGTGAGTCATTTCAGAAAATAAATTTCAAAGATCTGGAAAAATCCAAAACAAAAATGGTTAAATAATACAAGCGATATTTTTGACTGACTTTAGTTTTTTTATGTAATCTCAATTCTGATCAAAACTGATTAAATATTAGTCAAAAACGGTAACTTTCGACACTCATGAACATTGCGCATTTGATTAAAGTGTCTCAACCATAAATTAGACTCAACACAATAGTATCATTTTGTAGACCTTTAAAAAGTCTATCGAGTAATGTAGTGACGGAGTTTTGTTATGAGTATTCCTATATTGTAAATGGAAGCAAACGGTGTCAAACTAGAAGAAAAATGAAAAGAACAATTTTTTTTGTCATATTCTTATATACCATTCAATAGAGAGAAAAAAGAGAAAGAAATTTTGCAGATAAATACAACGTTGCCTGACAATGTAGGAGATGGATAATGTCGGGTTCTGACTAAGCCGCGCACAGTCAGAATGAAGTCTAATTGTATAATTTGAACCGCACGAGACCCTTCACACTCTAATTGGCTATTCGTAAAATAATAAACTCAACTTCGAGGGGAGGCGCTTTCGTTGTCTTATGAAACGTAAATAATTATTGTAACATCAATTATTTCATCATGACGACATTTATTAACGTTTACTAGTTGTAAAGGTAGAGCATAGAAAGCAATAATTTAATATATTCTCTGCGTGACGCATCTTTTTGGACAACTTTTAAATTCTAAAATGTCTATCGAATATATTATGCGTGTGGTTCTTCTCTTCATTCATCCGCCTACATCTACATCCCCGAACACCCTTGAAATCTTAATTAAACATTGTCATTGTTCAATCATATAGAAAGGATTCACACATTTCTATCGTATTTCATAAATAACGAAGAAATAGTATTGAAACTTTCTGATCGCGTGATAGATTGAAATGGATCTTTATTTGGTGCAAATATGCCCTAACTATTTAAAAAAACCAAGATTTTGTTTCATCTAATTAGGATGTATTGTTCATTTAACGATTTCTATCTTAAATGCAACCATATTTCGTAGAATCGAATTCTGTATCGAGTTGACATCTTACTACTTTATAATCGAATGGTCGTTCAACTACAATGACCCATTTCACAATTTGTCTTTCAGAATCTTTAATAGCAAATTCATCACGGTCATCATGCTCATGGATTATATAACAAGTGTCATAATCATTTTGCCATTTTCATCGATGAACAAAGTCATACACTTGAGGATTGAATAATGGATGTTTTTTATTTAAAAGATTTCGGTGAGCTTCGTATACTTTACCCATGCGAATTTTAGCAATAATATAAGCACTACCACCAGTTCTGGCTTTGCCAATTGTTCCGTCGATTGATCGAGCGAAATAAACACCAGTACTCGGTTGAAATTCACTATGTGCAATTGAAACAGCAGCTTCAGATGTAGTCGTGTGAAAGCCAATATAATGAGGTTGATGATCTTTGTTTTAGAAACTTAAGCAAAAAGTTCTCTTTATAGGTGTATGCAATTCAAGTGGTGATTTGGAAATATCTCTCCAACGACCTTGTGGCTGATTATATGTCGAATGAAATACTGCAATATGATCAAGTTTTCTTTTGTGACATGGCTGTTCACGACAAGGTCGATTACCTAATAATCTTGGATTACGATTATCACCAACCATATGATATGGTATATATCGTTCATGTTTTTTCGATCGACAATGACATCGAGTATCACCATAAGGTGTATAATGCCACCAAACACAATAACGATATAAATCTAGACAAAATGTAGTAAATAAAAAGATAAGTGAAAAAGCACAAATAGCAGCTGATATTCCACCATCATAGTCATCATCGGATGATGATGCATAGAGTCCAATAGCCACAATACGTAAAATAAAAAAAAGAATAATTAAAGCAAACCGTACTTGAAATCGTCGTTTAGGCCTAGACTTGTAACATAGACAGTTGCAATCAACTATAAGAAAACGACGCAACGCTTTGTTTTCTAATAAACGAGTTAGTGTGCCGTCTGTATTGATTTCATCTTCATTATTTCCATCTCATGTGTTTGACTCAGATCAAATTGCGACGCAGTTACGCGTAACTGCGTTCGCACTGTGACCCGTAATTGCGACGCAGCTACGCGTAACTGCGATGCAGTCGTTAAAAAAGTGGCGACATGGGATGTTGTCGATTATACCTGTTAGTCAAACAAGCACATATTTTATAAAGTATTACAAGAATAATTAGCGTAGTAAATAATCCAACTAATGCAGATACAATTGAACTGATCCAATCAATGATAAATGCTACTACATATTTCTTAGTGTATATTTTCTTATTGATATTTCCTGTATTTGTACTGAACGAAATGTTTGTAGACGAAGAAGGTGAGGAAAAGAAAATGTAAGACGCGGGTGTGGATGTGGGTGTCTATGAAGGATATTAACACCCACCCACACCCACACCCTATTTCGAATTGAATAATTACCATTTATATTGGCATGGGAACCCATCGTTCCATGAACTAATTCACTATCGATTGTTGCAAAACCATAGGCAAAATCTTGTAGAGTCGCTTCATATAAAAGTTTTTGTGTCAGTATTTGATTCCAAGTAAGGTCATCTGTATAACTTCGATTTTTATTAAATGGAGGTACCGGTGGCCAACTACGCTGTGAAATTCGATAACCATTGCCAGTATCACTTAATGAATCACCAAATGTCACCACAGTAGTATAAGTCAAATGACCTTTAAAAAACAAGAAAAAAATAAGAGTTGTCGTTTATATTCATCTTACCATGGTCAGCATTTATACAACAAAATAACAAATACAACAAAATTAATTTCATGTTTGATAGATTATTTTGTATATTCAGCGTTCTGTCAATATTTATTCCTTGTTTTTGGTTTTGAATCGCAATAGAAAAAAATCTTGCTTCGATAACTTTCAATTAAACAGTGTTCCAGTTATATACAAATTATAAGCGAATGACTATGTGCTTTTTTTTCTCAAGATTTTATATTCATCATGTTTAGAAATGTAAATTTACGGTCATAAAAATAGATTTTCATTTTGATTATACATAGTGGTGAAGTAACAATATATGTAACAGAGACCAAAATGAATTGAATTCTAGTAGCTTAATTTCGATTCGTTTCGACTAATTTTTTTTTAGAATGGTTCAAATTCGATTCGATTCGGCACGATTTTTTTCTGTCAGCTCGGGTTCGACTCGGGTAGGCTGTATTTCTCTTTCAATCGACTTGGATTCAGTTCGATTCGTTCAGATCGGATTTTAATTACCCACAGGAAAATAACTTATAAATGGTATCAGATTTGATGGGTGGGTTTGGATGTGGGTGGAAAGGTTGGTGGTATCTTATCTACAGCAACAACCACACCCACACACTTCTATTAGAATGATGTTCGACGAATGACAAATGTGAATTACTCCAATGAAAGACGTTGCTATTGATTTCAAACAGTCGAATCTTAAAAGAACGTCTTTAAAATTGAATCAACTGCACTCGAGAAAAAAGAGTCTCTCTTTTGAATTGAGATTTGAAAGTGAATCGATCCTATATAATTAAAAGAAACCAAATATATATGAAACACTGATGGTCGACAGAAACTCAATTTTTGTTATGAATGAATGTTTTTCAAAATGAAAACCCATTGAACGAACGAATAGAGTATGGGATATACGTAGATGAAAAGGATATCCTCGCACACAACTCTTCTAAAATAGCACGGTAACATATTTGGGTGTGGGTGCAGAGGAAGTTATTCTCTCACCCATACCCACACTCCGCACCCACACCCACGCCCTAAAATACTGATTCTAAAAGTTCACTTTAAGCCATTTTCACTTAGATCTCACGAAGAAAATTAATTTGTGACAAGAAAAAACAATATTGAAGTCATTATTCTGTATAGGAGCCAGTTCACACAAGCCACAGCATACTCCCGCAGAGGTTACTCAGTCAAGGTCGTCAGATTTTGCTCGATTTAGGATAAGTTGTAGAAACAAAAATTTTAAGACTTTTGACGCAAACTGTTCGAAAAAATATTGTTCGGTTGTCGAGATTTTTAATCTGTACGAGGATTTTTTGAACAAATATTTTATTCATTGTTAAAGATATTTTTATGGAGGACAATAGAGGATCATATGCCAATGTTTTAGTGAATAGAATATATTTCATATGATAAAACTCTTAGGGTAATTTCCAAACGAACTTGGTACATTTACTATAGAAAAGGGCACACGTTTTGGAATTTTTCGTTCAGTCTCCCAAAACCGTTTCTGGAGATCCTACGCTGTTTCTTTTCATAATTTTGTAGTACTACTCAATGGGTACTTTAAATTCACATGAGCCGACTTGAATAAGATCCATATCTTGGAAAATTAGCTAATTCAAAAATCATAATTAATAAACTAGGGTGGATGAGAATATGATTGCGTTTCTGCATACCCACACTCTATCAAGATTCTTTATTCAATCCTTCCATATCGATAAAGAGAAATTATTTCCTGTCTAGAAGAATATTACTCGTAATCTATTTACCGTAACTCAAGAATAGATAGAGTGTCAAGAGTGATAATTTTCATCATTCGACAGAAAAGATGCAAGACTATCAAAGCGTATTGAAGAATGATTCCTTATAGTAATTCAGTGAGCATTGTATACATCGATATGCTGAAGCTATGCTATTTCATAATCAATGGCTGATTGTAGAATATTATATGTATTCAGATTATTTCAGACAGGAGTCCCAGGAATAGTTTTTGAATATGGAAATGGGAACAGATAGAGATGTTGCCGTCCAACGGATTTAAATGGAAGATACTTTTTTGTCCGACAGACTTATTAAAATCACACATTAAAATAAAAATAACTTTAGAATATAAATTTGCATCATGTTCACTTGATTGCTACACTACTTATCGATTATTTTTTAAATCTTGAATGGTGAAAATTACAGGTTGCCATATAATTTTATTTAAAAGTTATTCGAAAAAAAAATCACGACTGGCATTTTTGCCAACAGATCATAGTTTTTATTTATTTTCTTTTAGATGAAAAGATAATACGTATTTTTGGAGATTAGATGATGATAAAATTTGTTTCCATATTCAAGAAGAAAATTTAAATTCAGTTAAGCATCTTTGTATTGTTAGTAAAAAATGCAATATAATTTTCTCAATTATTTTCCACATGTTACTGAATTAATTATTAAATCGTTATTTTAAAGTATCAGATGGTTCGATTACAACAACTCTTCATCATATCATTCGTTTTAGACATCTTACGAAGTCGGTCATTGAATGTTTTGATTTTCCTATGAAAAATCTTATTAAATTATGATGTTTCACATCTAATATACATTCATTAAATTTATTTAGATTATTTTTAAATGGTATTAATCTGAATTTCATTTTCATACGTGGCTGGTATTGAATGGATAAAATTCCATTTATTGTTTATTTATTTCCATAATTATAATATTTTAAATACGGAATAAATAGAAAAGAAATAAGGCACATAACTCGAGTGTTATTATCAAAATCTCATAGTTGAATAGGAAATGTATTCCATATATGTATTCAAAGAGTACTGAAAATACGCTAAGAAGAAGCACAAGTTTTAATTAAATCAGAAAATTTACTCAATAATTACTCTATTCCATATATATATATATGATGGTAAAGATTATGTTGTTTAGCATATGTCTGTTTTATTTTTATTTTTGTATATAATAACTATTACGTTTGCATAAATAAATGAGACATGGAACTTTCATTACATTTTATGATTTTATTTTAGTTGACAAAAGAATTGAGCAAATCTAACAAGACGAACTACTTGAACTATTTGATTGTGAATTTGTCAACATTTGCTAACATAAATAGATTAATTGTCGGGATTAAAAAGTAAAACAGCTTCACGAGCATTTCAGACGAGAGCTGAGTAACGAGGAACATTATAACTTCTTGATAAATATCTTCGAAGGACATCAACATTTCATAAACATAAATTAGAATGATTAGTTCTGATTGTTTTTATTCGATCTACTTTAATGTGCCAAGAAAAACAAGCATGGAATCTTAATAAATTTCTTTCTTTTGTTCAAATATTTGTATGTAAGTTTGAATTCCAAATCATGATTTGAGAATAAAAGAAAATAGCATATTCAGAATTAGCCTAATATTCGTTGTCGGAAAATCTGTATTTGTGTGAAGTCGTCTCTTCATTAGTTATTTTTTCGAAATTGATCTGTGATTTTTACGAGGTCAATTCGAAGGAAAACTTTCATTTTACTGAAAGATTGGCTTTATGATCTGTCTCTTTTATTCGGATTCTAAATATTCTTGTAGATTAATTCTCAAGTTATGGCTAGATAATAAATACTGTAAAGTACTAACAAAAAATGGGCATCTTTTTAAGATGTTGTCATGGATTCGGAAAAAATTTACTTATCTAAAAAAAACGACGAAGGGCATTAAAAATATATACTTATTGTTGTTGGCATTTGTACGTAGTTCAATTACAATTTAGTGAAATCAACTTTTGAAATTTATATCTATAGACAAATGATGATTTTGGATGATACCTCAGTAACTTTTTCGTTTGTTTTTACTTCTGAATTTTAGGAACTTATCTTTTTCTATAAGAAAAAATTTCCAAAGAAATTAAAATAGTCTTCGCAAAGATGAAGTTCATATAAATTCAGTGGTCCTTCTTTCAATCACTAAATCTGTTGACGATATTCTCAGATGATATATGCACTCTCAAAACCTTTTTGACATTATGGTTATTCATACATGCTGTACTTAGTAACTACCGTAATTCATCAAGCTAGTCACTAACTTTAGTGAAGAACTTAGTTGATAGCCAAATAGGTTGTCGGACACGGTAGCAAATAAAAAACGGTCAGATCGTAATTTATGATGCACACACCCCAGTTTCAGAACAGGTACTGTGTATGAATATGTGTTTGATAATTTTCATGAAAGAACCCAAGCAAGCCATTATCATCAAGACGAATATAAATGATCGAAAATGATTCGGTGTGAATTTCTCTGATCTCGGTTATCCATCATGAGAGATACAATCAGCCTTCCATTTGTGATATACGAATTATTTTACTTTCTCTTGAATTTGATAGCGATAAATGATAAAATTTTCATCATAAATGTAGTGAAAATCGCGACTTTTAATTAACGGAGGCACAGAACTCAGTATTCTTTGATATACATTAGATATCTTAAGCACATGGGTGTGCATATTGGTATGAGATGTAGTAGTATCATTGGCATCACCTAAATGCACAACCCAAGCTTAATTCACACTCATACTATTAGATTCACGTTAGTTCTTCTTTCTAGAAAAATCACATCAATCTAAAATGGCAATTGAGTAAAGATTTCAAACAAAATAGATACACACTTAATGCTATACTGATGTCAAGAAACATTCATGATAGCAAGAGCAGAACAATTTTTTTTCTCATCGTTTGTTTGGAAATTCATCGAACACTAGCTCTAAGACAGTAAGTTGTCATTCATCTAAATTGACTTATCAAAAATACAGCGCATGGTGATAAAAATAAAAATGTAAAAAAATAACAGAAAATGCAATTGCTCTCTATTTTATAAGGATGTGGGTGGGGTGTGAGGTGTAGTTGTTCTTCTCATCTACACCCACACCCACACCCCACACCCACCCGCCACCCACACCAACACCCCACACACCCACCCACCCACACCCACACCCATCATACTGTAAGTAAAACTCTAA